TCTTGTGTTATGATTCGATGCTTTGCCAGAGAAGTGTGTCGGACCTGTGAAGAAGTGGCGAAACAGTCGTCATAACGTCGAAGGAGGTTCTGTAGCAGTCGCTGCTTGCATTGAGGCAAGGAAGGGTTAATGTCGAATGACAGCTGCGAGTTGTGGGTCTGTGGGGTGATGGTCGCTGGATTCGAAAGGGCGAGGGTGTCACTGACTTCCGCGATTTTATCGAGAAAGGCAATGGTCGTGCCTTTGGCCAGGTGACGGTGTTCTTGGCTGAAATTTGTTAGCAGCACTGGGCCCTGTCCATTCCGGAAGTCCGCAATGCCTCTTGCGATTGCAATATCACGGCCAAGCAAAAGCTGTATGTTACCTTCGACGACGCCATGGGCATTTTTGGCAGTACCAGTGGTTACGGGGATCAGGGTCGTTGATCAGGGTGGGACGCTCACGTCATTCTCGAGCACACGGAAGGCTGTGCGATTATGTGGTGCCGAGTATGAATTTATGGCTTCATCCGAGGAAAGTTTGATGGATCTGGACGCCAGGTCAATAACCGCGTGATGTTGAGTCAAGAAGTCCATGCCGAGAATGACGTCACGGGAGCGCTGCGGGAGCACCAAGAAAGTGGAAAGGTATGTGTGACCATCGAATGTCACCCTTGCAGTACATCGCCCCGATGGGGTGAAGAGGTGGCCTACCGCTGTGCGGATCTGCGGGCCGTCCCAAGCCGTCTTAACCTTCTTCAGTTGTGCTGTCAAGGGCCCGCTGATGACCGAGTAGTCAGCTCCTGTGTCAATCAAGGCAGTTACCGGGTGGCCGTCGATAGATACTTCAAAATCGGTGGCACGTGGGCTGGAGTTGCGCGTTGGTTTTGGGTTCGGGTCATGGCTTCGTCTTGTTGCTTGGTTTTGCTTCGTCTCGCGGCTTGGGTTGTTGTGCGTTGTCGTCGTCTGAGATGATGTGCTGTCGTCATATATGGTCGTCGGTGGAGGGTCTTCGGCTTTTCCTCTTGAAGCAACCTCACCTCCAAAGATTGCTGGTTTTAGTTTCCCCTACGGGGGCTTGGGGACCTTCTTCGTTCGTTGTTGCTGCGGTTCGGTGACGTGAAGCGTGGGGATGGCGGTGATGGAGAAGGGCTGGACAAGTGTTCTGTATGGCGCAAGTAGTCTTCGATTGCCGGAGGTCGTTGTCCAGGGCGTGGCCGTGGTGCCCGAGATGAGAAGCCATGAAGTCCCATCCGCCTGTAGTGGCAGTGTCGAAGAATGTGGCTGGCCTCACCGAAGTGAAAGCATAGGGGACGGTCGTCGGGAGTTCTCCAGGTGTCGCATTTCCTTTGGCTCGGGCGTCTCTCGAATGTAGGGTGGGCGGGGAAGGGCGGACGGCTACTTGGGGCTGCAGCGTACCGTCGAGGACTGGGCTCGTTTCGTCGGGGTGGCCTAGTGTTCACTGCAGCGGCGTAAGTCATTGCTTCGGCCTCTGTTCGAGTCGTCGCTGATGAAGAGCCAAGCGCCTGCTGGACTTCATCACGCGCTATGTCCAAGAGAGATGCTCCTTGGGGGGGGGCTGGGGGGTAAGAGGTAGCAATTAGCGTAGTTCTTCTTTAACCACTTCTCGAATAGCTTCCCGCAGATCGTCGGTGGTTAGCCCACCTCGAATCGGTTCCGAGAAGAGCGAGCTGAGCTGAAACGGGCGGTTGTATTGCCGAGTCCGCGCGTCCAGGGTCCTTTCTATGGTGTGCGCTTCTTAAGTAAATTCGGCAACTGTTTTAAGAGGGTTCCTTATGAGACCGGCGAAAAGCGACTCCTTCACCCCTCGCATTAGGTATCCGACCGTTCTGTCTTCGGTCATGTCTTGGTCCGCTCGCCTAAAAAGACGTTTCATTTCTTCGACGTACACGTTTAGGGTCTCATTGGGCTGTTGGGTCCTCGATTCTAGCAGCAGCTGGGCCCTTACTTTTCGCATGATGCTGGTGAAGGTCCTGAGCAACTCATTCTTCAGAAATTCCCAGCTGGTCAGTGGGGTCTCATGGTTTTCATACCATGTTTTGGCGGGGCCGTCCAGGGAAAAGTAAACGTATTGCAGCTTCATTTCTTCATCCCACCTGTTTATGGTAGCCACGCGCTCGAATTGGTCGAGCCATTCCTCTGGGTCTTCAGCGGCATAACCATGGAAAGTTGGGGGCACCCGCGGCTGCTGCAGCATGACAGGGGTAGGTGATTGCGTTGTGCTCATGGTGGCTGTGGAAGCGTCCTTTCGTAGTCGCGTGGCGTCCGGTAGCGGTCCCAGCTCAGGTGGCAGGTTTCGGAGGCGGCGACTGCTTCGAGTACCTGCGTCTTCAGCGTCCTCTTTCTCTGTAGTGGCTGTTTTAAGGTCGTTTTTGTGCATACCTCGCACCTCCACCAGATGTCACGTAAGAGTGAGGGTAGCCCGAAGACAGGAGACCGGGAGGCTAGTAGAAATAGAAGGAGATCCGTTTATTTGGCAGACTTGCGCCCACTGAAGGAAAACAGATACATCGGCTTAGCGGGTGGCGAGCAGCGTGTTCGACGGCCGTCGGGAAACAGAATGTCCCACTGGATCGCAAGGCGCGTTCACCATCCGAAATACAGTCACCGTAGCGTCTGGCGCTATCTCGTTATCAACGAATGGTCGACGTGCGGGCCATGATCTTCGCAGATGAATCGTGGTGCATCCTGGACCACGCTAAGGCCGCGTGCCGGCGGTATCGGCATGCGCAACACTATCCGCAATACGCCTCGCGGCAATATCTTTGTCGGAAATATATGTGGAGCCTTTATTATCGCTCAGCGCACTGCCGTGTCAAACATTCGAACACTCCAAGAACAAAGAAGCCTCTGCCCCACTACCCTTCTTAGTCTCTTAAGTCCGTGTCGCCCGCAAGTTTCTATATCTTCCCTCCACGACGATTTCACTAACCTTCTCTTAATTTTTCTCCGCAGGCAGCCTTTCACAGTCCGTGTCATCCTTCCACAAATTCTTCCCACAACAAATTATGCTACAATTTTCATCTTGCACGATTCTGAGTTACCGAAGTTTTACAATAATGTGCTTCAAAAGCCTCGACTTCAGCTCATGACTGACTGTCTTGAGCGTTACTTCCTTATCGGATTATGAAACTCTGCACGATAAAAGGACAGAAAGCCTTCAGAGACGCATTAGTTTCAATGACACTACAAATGCGTGTACTGTTCTAACTGGCACACGTTTAACGACTTTCACGGTAGTCTCTTCTCACAGCCACTGGCACAACGTTGACACTGCTGACTTGAAGCAGCTGCGATCGTTCGGCACACGCTGTCTTTTCGAGAGGTGGTGTAGTTGTTGATGAATTGTATGCATGCATCAAAATTACAAATCACTTGTTTAACACGTGGGTGTAATCTTAGTGACCAGAAACGTTGACATGGCCCAGCGAGAGTGCCATGAGGGCCACCATGACGACGGCATCGATGCATGTCACTCGCATTGAGGCGTGCGTATTGATGATATCGCGGCAGCCATTTAGGCCAGTTGCCTTCTTCCGAAGTTTTCGTGTTGTCGAAGGGAGAGCTTACGCGAAGAGTACCTGCCTTCGACTGCTTCTTCAAGTTGGATATTGAAAAGTACTTTTCTGCTTCGTTTGAAGAGGCGTCATAGACAGCTGCGGTTCTAACTGTACCTGTTCCGCTGATTACTTCTCCCAGTTTATCAGTGGCAATCTTCTCCGCATGTCCATTTTGTTGTGTGACTTCTTTCTTTTTGCACAAGGTTGAACTGGTTCTTTCTTCAAAGAAATTGCAACACTATGATGATCTTTCGCTGATGTCCTTGGTAGCGCTACTTTATCGCGACCATTTCGGAATTTTATGGCTTCGTTGAACACTCTTATGTCAATGTCTTGCTTCGGAAATGTCTTTTCTGCAACACTACTGGTATCGAGCTAAGAAACCCGTTGTGACGAGTAAAAGAAGTTCTCCTCCTCACAGACCTCTGTTCGGACGCAGATACGACTGATCGAATACGGTCCACTTTACTTCTCGACGAATATATGGTCCTCGCGAAGTCTACTCCATTTTGGTCTATTAAAAATGGTGACTAACCCCCTGTTATCTGAAACCCAGCGGGCTTCGCTCTCAGTTGGCATTACTTTCCGCAGTCAGTCCGACCCAATCAGAAGACTTACTTCGGGTTCACAGGTGACGCTTGGGAAACAACTGCATCATCCAATGGTTTAGGTTCTGTAATAATGACTTCATGAAGTTAATTTGGCTTTAAATATTCACTGATATCGCCGCAGATGAAAAGAACGACGGCCGCTTCTAACTGAATCTATTACGGCAGCAATTACAAAAATTAAAACAACTGACTTTTAACCAGTGGAAAGTGTTAGTCGAGTCAAATGGGCGAATTAAAGTTCTTCCTACGAATAGTCTATAGCCACTTTAAAACTTTTGGTAGGCGGCCACTGGTATTCATGGCGGAGCAATGAAATGGGGCTAATTTTGCCCACGAAACCGAAACCGACACAAAAAACAGTGCATCTACCATTCATTTTGAAAACCCGCTATTTGTCTTGCTTCGGGAATATCTTTCCTGCAACACTACTGGTATCGAGCTAAGAAACCCGTTGTGACGACTAAAAGAAGTTCTCCTCCTCACAGACCTCTGTTCGGACGCAGATACGACTGATCGAATACTGTCCACTTTACTTCTCGACGAATATATGGTCCTCGCGAAGTCCACTCCATTTTGGTCTATTTCTTCATTGGCTTCATTGATTTTCGTCGAAGCAAGGTACTTGTTTTATATTGTTCAAAATTTTAGTTTTAAATTATTTACGGCTACAATTAATGTTTGTACACACTTGAAGATGGCTTCAATCAAAGTGAAGGCAACGCCACATGTAGCATGCAGGTGGCTGATTTTTGTTATTTTTAAATAATAGTGGACAAAATTCTTGAAACACCCTGTATATGAGACCCGGGCCTAATATGTGCCTGACTCAGGCCCGGCCCGATCCGAGCCCGAAGCTCATGGGCCCGAGCCAGGCCCCGGCCCTACCCGGCCCGGGCTTTTGGGCCTGCCCTGGCCCGTGCAGTGCTCGTGAGTACGTTTCGTGCGTCGTTTGGGTGTGATAAACGCGTTTCAATGTGCTTTCCACTCTGCGCACGACCTTCCGATTTGTTGATATCGTGTTTATTGCTTCGCCTTTGCGGCAAGCTGTGACTTTTCATTTTGAAAAATGGTCATGTTTTTCCAGACGCTGTGACCGGGCTTCTCAGCCTTATTAGTGAGTTTTGAAAACCTTAAAGTTTGACGCAAGAAGTTAACAAAATGGTGTTTTACACTTTCTCGATTTGAAACTTGCGCTCACTCCGAAACACGTGTACTAGGAAGGTCACCTACGCGCACGTAAGCCTCTTTTACTTTATCACTCCTCTAGTTGAAAACTTCTTACAAAATCAATAACTGGACACTGCTTCAAAAACGCCCTTGAAACACCATGTGTTCATTCGGCAGCAACTAGTTCCGCAAAGCAAGTTGACTGACCGAAAACAGCGCACTATTCAAACGCGATCGGCGTCGTTGAGAGTTCGTGAGGCCGTCGGGGACAACCTCGTAATCGAGTGGGCCGAGACGTCGAACCACCCTGTACGGTCCGAAGTACCGTCGCAGAAGCTTTTCACTTAGTCCACGTCGACGTATCGGCGTCCACCCCCAAACAAGTTCACCCGGCTGGTATTCCACGAAGCGTCGTCGAAGGTTGTAACGGTGGCTGTCGGTCGTCTGTTGATTCTTGATACGGAGACGCGAAAGTTGTCGGGCTTCTTCGGCGCGTTGAAGGTACTCGCTCACATCGAGGTTTTCTTCGTCGGTGACGTTGGGTAACATGGCGTCGAGCGTCGTTGCCGGGCTCCTTCCGTAGACCAATTTGTATGGAGATATCTGCGTCGTCTCCTGCACCGCCGTGTTGTATGCGAAGGTCACATACGAAAGAATGGCATCCCACGTCTTGTGTTCGACATCGACGTACATTGACAGCATGTCGGCGATCGTCTTGTTAAGCCGCTCGGTGAGGCCGTTGGTCTGTGGGTGGTACGTTGTCGTGCGGCGGTGGTTTGTTTGGCTGTATGCCAAGATCGCTTGAGTTAAGTCGGCAGTGAATGCCGTTCCTCTGTCGGTGATAAGGACCTCCGGGGCGCCGTGACGTAGGACGATATTTTCGACGAAGAACTTAGCTACCTCGGATGCACTGCCTTTTGGCAGGGCTTTTGTCTCGGCGTAGCGGGTGAGGTAGTCGGTGGCTACCACGATCCACTTGTTTCCGAAAGCCGACGTCGGGAACGGCCCCAATAGGTCCATACCAATCTGCTGGAAAGGTCGGCAAGGTGGATCAATTGGCTGCAGAAGTCCCGCTGGCCTAGTCGGCGGTGTCTTGCGTCGCTGACAGTCCCGGCATGTCCTCACATAACGAGTGACGTCGGTTGTAAGACGCGGCCAGTGGTACCTCTCTTGTATCCTCGCGAGCGTGCGAGAAACACCGAGGTGCCCTGCCGTCGGATCGTCGTGCAGGGCCTGCAGGAGTTCTGGTCGCAGAGCTGAAGGCACCACAAGGAGATACTTAGCCCGAAGCGTTGAAAAGTTTTTCTTTTGTAGAAGACCGTTTCGTAGAAAAAACGACGCAAGTGCGCGCTTGAATACCTTCGGGACTTCGGCGGTCCTGCCTTCGAGGTATTCTATTAGGGCCTTAAGTTCCGGGTCGGCCCGCTGTCGTTCAGCGAAGTCGTCGGTAGTTATCGTTCCCAAGAAGTAGTCGTCATCCGGGTCGTCGGGTGGTGGTTGGTCGACAGGCGCACGAGAGAGACAGTCGGCGTCGGAGTGTTTTTTTGCCGGACTTGTAAATGACAGTAATGTCATATTCTTGAAGTCTCAGGCTCCATCGTGCGAGGCGACCTGAAGGGTCCTTCAAAGTGGCTAGCCAACACAAGGCGTGGTGGTCGCTCACAACTTTGAAGGGCCTGCCGTAGAGGTATGGGCGAAATTTCGACGTAGCCCAGATGATGGCGAGGCACTCCTTTTCTGTTGTGGAATAATTTGCTTCTGCTTTGGATAGCGATCGGCTGGCGTAACTAATAACCCTTTCAAGTCCGTCAGCCCTCTGCACAAGAACGGCGCCAAGACCTACGCTGCTTGCGTCAGTATGTATTTCTGTCTCGGCGAATTCGTCGAAATGGGCAAGTAACGGAGGCGTCTGGAGGCGATGTTTAAGCTCCTGGAAAGCGTGTTCCTGTGGCGTTTCCCACTTAAACTCCACGTCGGCCTTGGTAAGATTAGTGAGAGGATCGGCGATGCGGGCGAAGTTTTTCACGAACCGCCTATAATAGGCGCACAGGCCCAGAAATTGGCGCACGGCTTTCTTGTCAGTGGGCGGCGGGAATTCGGCGATGGCGGCTGTTTTCCGTGGATCAGGACGAACTCCAGACTTGCTGATAACGTGCCCCAGAAACAAGAGCTCCTCATACGCGAATCTGCACTTTTCTGGCTTCAGTGTGAGTCCGGAAGTCTTGATGGCTTGAAGTACAGCTTCAAGGCGCCGAAGATGCTCGTCGAAACTCGAGGAAAACACGACGACGTCGTCCAAGTACACAAGGCAAGTCTGCCACTTCAATCCTGCCAGTACTGTATCCATAACGCGTTGAAAAGTTGCAGGCGCTGAGAAAAGGCCGAAGGGCATCACCTTAAACTCGAAGAGGCCGTCCGGTGTTATAAACGCCGTCTTCTCTCGGTCTCTTTCGTCGACTTCGATTTGCCAATAGCCAGTCTTGAGGTCCATTGACGAAAAGTACTTGGCGTTATTGAGGCGATCAAGTGCGTCGTCTATTCGTGGGAGAGGATACACGTCCTTTCTTGTGATTTTGTTCAGGCGGCGATAATCGACGCAGAAACGTAGGGTCCCATCCTTTTTCTTCACTAACACCACGGGGGATGCCCATGGGCTCTTGGACGGCTGGATAATATCATCCCGCAGCATTTCATCAACTTGTCTCTTGATGGCCTCACGTTCTCGCGTCGAAACCCTGTACGGACTCTGACGAAGTGGTCTGGCATTTTCTTCGGTTATGATGCGATGTTTCGTGATTGGGGTCTGCCGAATTTTCGATGACGACGAAAAGCAATCTTCGTATTGCAGGAGCAGGGCCTTGAGCTGTTCTTGCTTATCGTTCGGAAGTCTGGGATTGACGTCGAAAGCTATGGGAGGGGCTTGGTTCCTCTGAGCAGGTTCCGCAGAATCGGCGAGGGTGAAAGCGCTGGTGGCTTCGACAATTTCTTCGATGTATGCGACCGTTGTTCCTTTGTTCACATGTTTGTACTCATTGCTGAAATTTGTGAGCATAACCGTTGCTTTGCCTCCCCGCAACTCTGCAATTCCTCTTGCGACGCAAATATTTCGGGTGACCAACAGATACTGACTGCCTTCAACGACGCCTTCGAAGTCAGGTGATTCAGGAGCGCCGACTGAAATAATGACGCTTGAGCGAGGCGGAATGGTGACTTGTTCTTCTAGCACATTCAAGGCATGGTGTCCAGACGGCGTGCGCGGCGGTAGTGCTTCTTCTGTGGATAACGTTATCGACTTTGTTTTTAGGTTGATGACAGCACCATGGAGGCATCAGAAGTCCATGCCAAGGATGACATCTCTCGAGCAACGCTGTAGGACTACGAAGTCTGTAGGATAAATACGGCCGTTAATGGTGACTCTCGCTGTGCAGATTTCTGCAGGCGTTACGAGATGACCTCCGGCTGTGCGGATTTCAGGGCCTTTCCAAGCTGTCCTAACTTTCTTTAACTTCGCGGCGAACGACCACTGATGACAGAATAGTCGGCTCCAGTATCGACGAGAGCGGTCACACTGTGGCCGTCGATAAGAACGTCGAGGTCGCTAATTCGCCGTCTCGCATTACAGTTAGGGCGTGGCGTCGGGTCACGGCTGCGTCGGCTTGTTCCGCTGCTTCCCTGTTGCGTCGTCCGGCCACCTTCGGTAAGTGAGCTTTCGCCGTCAGGGCTTTGCCTGTTTGGCGTTGTGTTCGGAAAGCTCCGTCGCGGCGTCGTCGTCGTCGGAGAATCTTCGGTAGTTCGTCGCACAGCAACCGCACCTCCACCGGTTGCTGCCCTTAGTTTCCCGGATACGGGCTAGGAGACCGGCCCCGCGTTGGGCCAGAGTACTGTCGGTGGTGCGGTGACGTGTGGTGGCTGGGCGACGGCGAACGCGAAGGGCTTCGTGGTGTCCACCGAGTTCCTGTCAGGTAGTCGGCGATGTCACGTGGTCGTTCTCCTGGCTGTGGACGCGGTGCGTTGACGGCGAAGCCACGCAGTCCCTTCTGTCGGTACTGGCAACGGCGGTATGTGTGTCCGGCCTCGCCGCAGTGGTAGCAGAGCGGGCGATGGTCAGGGGTGCGCCAGACGTCAGTCTTCCTCGGTGCACTGCGCTGGGCCGCTGGCGAACGGTATGACGTCGGTGGGGGTGGTGGCGGCGGTGGCGTCTGTCGACGGAAGTGCGATGGGGCGGCGTTTTGGCGTGGACGGGGAGGAGCGTTGTGGCGCAGTGCAGCGGCGTAGCTCATAGCTTCCGGCTTGGGCAGCGGTGCGTGGGGAATTTGAAGCGATTGCCGAACTTCTTCTCGCACAATGTCGGCGATCGAATCCACTTGAGGCTGCGCCGAAGGCAACAGCTTGCGCAGCTCTTCCCGCACGATCGCTCGGATCGTTTCACGCAGGTCTCCGTAGTTACTGACTTGAGCAGCAGCGCAGTCTGCAGTCAGGCGACGATTATACTGTCTGGTGCGCATGTCGAGGGTCTTTTCAATAGTGGTCGCTTCGGCTACGAATTCTTGGACGGTTTTCGGTGGGTTTCTCATCAGCCCCGCGAAGAGCTCCTGTTTGACCCCTCGCATGAGGAAACGAACTTTCTTTTCCTCAGGCATGTCTGGGTCAGCGTGACGGAATAGGCGGGTCATCTCCTCTGTGAAAATTCCAACCTTTTCGTTTGGTAGCTGAACCCGGGTCTCGAGTAGAGCAGCGGCCCTCTCTTTGCGAGCGACGCTTGCGAACGTTTGAAGAAATGCGCCGCAGAAGACATCCCACGTTCGGAGCGTGGACTCCCGATTCTCTAGCCAGGTCCTTGCAGTGTCTTCCAGGTAGAAGTACGCACGACGGAGCTTTTCTTCATTGTCCCAGTGGTTGAGGGCGGCCACACGGTCGTATGTTTCTAGCCAGGTTTCCGGGTCTTCGAACGATGACCCATGGAAAATTGGTGGTTCCCTGGGTTGATACATGACCATCGTGGGCTGGGACGCTGCGGTTGTCATTGTCGCTGCAGTCGCGGTCATGGCTTTGGTCTTCCGCGGCTTGTCGTGTAGAAGCCCGTACTCCGGTGGTAGCCCTTGCTGTCGGCGGCTTGTTCGCTGCTCCTGGTTGGCGTCGGTGTCTTCTCCACGATGTGGGCTGGGTTCACGGCTTGACGGGGGCGTCCGGTACATGAACGGAGCAGCGCCTCCACCAAATGTCACGGGGTCGTGACGTGGCCGAAGACAGGAGACTTCTTGTTGGAATTTAACTGTTTATTTGGGCGAACCTGTGCCCGGTAAACAGAAAGTCCAATTACAGCAGCAGTCTCGCACAGATAGCAGTCTCAAACTGATAGCGGCGAACGGAGCGTTGGCCTTCGATCAACAACTGACAAGCGGCGAAGCGCGTCGGCATTTATACTCCCGCCGTCGAATGTTCTAGTGCTACCGCTGGCGGCGGCGTGCGTTCCAGAACAATCTGTACCATTCGCACAGTGGGCGTGATCTTATCGAAATGATCTACTACAGTCCGGAACCCTCTAGAAAACTGCAGACGCGGTTTGCGCTGAGAATCGTGTGGTGTTTTGGGACGATAACGAAAACTTGGAAAATGGAACGTGGCAATATTGTTCAAAATTTTAGTTTTATTTATTTACGGCTACAATTAGTGTTTGTACACACCTGAAGATGGCTTCAGTCAAAGTGAAGGCAACGCCGCATGTAGCATGCAGATGGCTGCTTTTTGTAATTTTAAATAATATTGGAAAAATTTCTTCAAACACCCTGTATATGAGACCCGGGCCTAATATGTGCCCGGCTCAGGCCCGGCCCGACCCGAGCCCGAAGCTCATGGGCCCGAGCCAGGCCCTGGCCCGACCCAGCAATGCCTTACCCGGCCCTACCAGGCCTGCGAGCCGGGCCTGGCCCAGGCCCGTGCAGTGCTCGTGAGTACGTTTCGGGCGTCGTTTCAGTGCGATAAACGCGACCTTCCGATTTGATGATATCGTGTTCATTGCTTCGCCTTTGCGGCAAGCTGTGACTTTTTATTTTGAAAAGTGGTCATGTTTTTCCAGCCGCTGTGATCGGGCTTCTCAGCCTTATTACTGAGTTTTGCAAACCTTAAACTTTTACGCAATAAGTTAACAAAATGGTGTTTTACAGTTTCTCGATTTGAAACTTGCGCTCACTCCGGAACACGTGTACTAGGAAGGTCACCTACGCGCACGTAAGCCTCTTTTACTTTATCATTCCTCTCATTGAAAACTTCTTACAAAATCATTAACTGGGCACTGCTTAAAGAACGCCCTTAAAACACCATGTGTTCATTCGGGAGCAACTAGTTCCGTAAAGCAAGTTGACTGACCGAAGACAGTGCACTATTCAAACGGCATTCTGGTTTCTGTATCTGAGAGAAAGCTCGAAAAATAACCAAGAAAGGAAAATCCTTCTTGAGAAGAAAATGGAAAAAACACCATTCTGCATCAGTGTAAGCATAACGAGTAATGCCACCTAATAGGGTTGGGAACCAGAACAAGAACTGTGGTGCTCTGTGTGCTTTAAAAGCTAAAAAACCTTCGCCTAAAAACCAATCCATTAAAAAAAACGAGAGCGCCGTGAATAATGAAGCACCCGGACTCATATGCATTCTGTGTGTCCGGAGTAGAGGCCCAGTATCGTGTCGTGGCAGCTGTACAGCGGCTAGTCTGGTAGGCGTTTGTGGCAAAAACATGAAATACAAGAGCGAAAAGAGGAAACTATAGGAGAGCAGTTTGTGTGTACATTGTCATGATTGAAGGTCCAAGAACGCAAAGCCTTATAAACAGTTGCATGGTTTGTGCAGGGTGGGAGTGAGAAATAGGAGCCAAAATGGTAAAGATATTATAAAATCTGATTTGATTACAAAGGCTGGTCAGTCTGTCACGTCACTCTTGTGTCTGCATACCTTTAATTATTTACTAGTCTTAGGAAACACAATATCTTAGCATGTTCACCTGATGTTGGCTCTGCAGTCAAGTAACGACATGAAAAGAAGTGTTCCCAATATGAAGTTTTTTGAACATATAATTAAAGCTAAGTAATCGGTTGCGTGGTCATCACCTTCATCTTTCATTGCGTGTGCCTGCCTGAATTAGTGATCTATTATATGTAACGATAATGGACCCCAATGTCGGCTACGGCTTTGCTATTTGTGATTCTCTCCACACGTTTGTAAGTTGATGGAGCTTGAGCCCCGCTTATACCATATTAGATTCATGATACCTGTATACTCGTATGAGTAAAACATTAGAGCCTCCAAGGACATCCTTTTTCAAAGGATCAATTGAGTGACTTCGCCTACTTCAACAGCAACAAAGGCTTCATTGATTTTCGTCGATGTAGGCTCTGGAGGAACGTGAGCGGCAAGTGAAACAGCTGTCACAGTCCCTAGAACAGGCGACTCGTGACTTGGAAGACCAGAGCACCATAATCGAGGCACTGCAATTTGAGCGCCAACAGCGGGACGAGGAGAACCAGGACGGGAGACCGATGGCGAGGCGGGGAGGCCGTTGGCTTGACCTGCAAGGAAAGCTTCGAGAAAAAAGCTTGCTCCTGAGGTGAGTGTGTATTATTATAAATAAATCAAACATGAACTCTATAACTCGCGCCAAATTGTGTGTGCGCTATATTCTGGTGACGGCCGTACAGAACAACGCATCCAATGTTCTCAACGGATGAAAAAATGCTTCACCTACTGCGAACGTTTCTCGCTTGTTTTTTTTTTGTGATGTTAGGAGTTACGTTTGCATAGAAGAGGTACCGCCTCCACTCCCCCTTCACATGCAGATTATCGGGATGAATCGGCCTGTTTAGTGATGACTGGCTAATGGTGCGAGCTATAGGAAAATTAGATGCACATCGGAGGAGCGCAGAAAATAGTTCAGTCACTTTTAAGGAAACTATCTGCACATGGCTGATTCCTCAAGTGTACTACATATAGATGTGTATATGTACAACTTTATTCTACAAATACAGGCGTATACTATAAATACAGGCGTGCTTAGAATGTAGTGCGCAGTGCTAAGATGCGACACTCGGTAGTGAGACGGATGAGATGGGAAACAGACGAGCCCAGGAGGGGGTTGGGGGGGGGGTGTACCCATTTTCCTGTGATCATTCTTTTTGGTGGTGGTTGTGGTTGTAAGGAAGGGGAAAAAGGCACCTAATTTCTGTCTGCCTCAGAGGCGACACGGCGCTGTGCCTTATAGGGGTAGGGGGAAGGAGGGATACAAAGAATAGAAGGAAATAGATGAAAAAATAGAAAGGCAAGCGACGGAAATAGAAGGAGATAGGCAAGTGGGGATCCGGTCGAAGCAGTCCAAGGGCGGGGCACCACAATGCGAGAGCTGCACAGCGTCAGGAGACCGCGGAGGGCGAACCAGTCGGCGGGAGCTACGCTGGCGTCGGAGATCGTGGGGGCACGTCCGTCCAGCTTGAACTCCTCCGAGCGAATCCCAATCTTTGTCTTAACGTGTCTATAGCTAGGTTGTACAGGGTATTGTTGCAGCATGCCCTCGGACTTCCGCAATGGGGGAAAGTACACGACCATTTGAGTCATATTTGAGTGTGAAAGTTACCTATTCGGTGGCTAGTCTAGTTTCACCTCCGAGTTCTGCAGCGGTAGTACTGGCTGCAGCTCAAGACAGTAATGCACAAAATCATAGTTTAATTGCGAACCTGCAACATAAGCTTGTGTGTGCGTTTAGCTGCTCCCGCCTCTCGTATTCAGCGAAAAGTGGCAATTTCTTCTGACTATCTGGAATCGGGAATCGCCAAGAAAACGCTCGTAAAATAAATCCACATATGCTCATCTTTATTCATTGTGAGAAGATGTTCCTTACGAATTCGTGTGACATGTTACAAATTGAAAAAGAAAACCACGAAGGGTGGCCTCCATCTACCGCCAAGTTTTTTTTGTGTGTCTCGCTGTTTGGCAAGAGCCGCCACTCATTGTATGGGCGGTCATCATCCTACAATGAACACCTTCCCATAATTTTAATCGTGGTGCACTTCTGTTTTGGTACGACCAGAAGCTGCCTATAAATTTGCGTTTTCAGTCTGAAACCACACCTGTTTATTCGTACGTACTACGGTACAGCCTTCCTAGCGAATCATGTCGTTTGCCTCTGGTTCAACGCCTTTAAAAATTGGCACTTTGTAGCTTGCATCGCTCAACCATGTACACGTTTCACGTGCGTGTGCGTGTGCGTGGCAGAAGAGAAACTTGTAGGAAGTTGCGAGGCATACCCTTCTCTCAACTTAAATAGCGTTTTAGAAGAGCTACAAGATTCATCTTGCTGTGAAACCCGCAGCCCGTTGAATGTTATGGTAAACTGCGCTCCCGTCGGAGATACGTGGTGGTGACGCCTCCTGAGCCGCGCAAATTTCGGTTCAAATTACTCAGTGATACACAAACTTAGCAGGAGTGGTACTTGTGCACTAATCAATGCTAATTTTTGAAACCGTATCTAGCTTTAAATGGTATTATCTATAATGAAAATTTCTGAACGAAAGTTTAGAGGTTGTGTGACGGTTTAAACTATAGTGGACTTCTTTACTCACGCATTTATTTATTTATTTATATATTAAACAACCACAGCACCTTTCGGAATTACAGGGGGGAGGGTGTAAATACCAGCATAGCCATAACAAAATCTGGTGCTTTGTACAGATGCAGCGGTAAGTAGCCATTTACACGAAAAAGCAATGACAGCAAAAACATTTAGTACTAAACTTAAAAGCAAATCCACCACAGGGGATAACTAGGACAATTGAGGATACGTATCCTGCAGAGAGGAAGCAAATACATCAGGGGATTTAATGTTGGCTATGTCTTGAGGCAGCTTGTTCTACTCACGAATTGTTCGGGGGAAAAAAACCATCCTGAAGTAGTTCGTCCTGCATCTTATCTCCTTGTTTTTATAGGCATGATCAAGGCATGGTGATATGTAATTAGGAATATGCAAATGATGATCGTTATAATGAACCTAACCTAACCTAACCTAACTATGCCAGTGTTACAATGAAATATACTATGAAAAAAGGTTAACTGTAAGTATTGCCTAAGTTGCTGCAGAGACTCCATCCAAGGCTTTCTTTTGCACTTGATACGCTAAAGTGGTGAGAATATTTGGCATGAACAAATCTGACAGCAAGATTTTGAATTCTTTCAATCCTTTCAATGTCCTCCTGCTGCAAAGGATCCCAGACGCAACAAGCGTATTCAAGGATTGGTCTAATATTGGTTTTATACAAAAGCTCTTTTGCGGCAAGTGGCAAATTTATTGCATTTTTTCTAAGAAAGCCAAGAACAATTGAAGCCTTGCGTGTAGCATACTCGATATGATGACGCCAGCATAATTCTGCAGTGTAGTATACACCGAGATATTTGTGCTCGAACACTTGTGCCAGAGAGAGAGAAATAAATAAAAGAAAGAGACAGGGAGGTTTACCTAGAAGAACTGGTTTGCTCCCCGGTACAGGTATAGGGAAAAAGGCTCGAAAAGAGGATGGAGATAGGGAGATATAAAAAAAAGAAATTCACGTGCACACACATTCAGGGAGTTCCGATCACAGTCGTTTGGACAGGCCGGTTGAACGCAACAAGCGCAGAAGTGTCTTCACAGCCTTCTTCTGTGACATAAAGTCCTATCGGTAGCGCAGGATACTTGTGCCAGTTTTTATGCAATATTAGTGTAACTAAAAACATTACAGCATTTTTTTGGAAAAGCACATATACACAGATTTTGTCACATTTATGTCCATGTGCCAGGTATTGCACCAGCTGCTAATCAAATCCGAATCTTTTTGTAGCGCAGTGCATTTGTCTACGGTATCAATGACCCTGTATAATACGCAGTCATCTGCGAGCATACTAAGGCTGGAGGAAATACCACAAGAGATATCATTCAAGTAGATAAGAAAAAAAGCGGCCCCAGCACTGATCCCTGCGGTACGCCTGAAGTAACATCCACTTGATTGGACTGCATTCTATTTAAAACTGCCATCTGACGTCTGAAGTTCAAGTATGATTTGATCCATTCGATAAGAGAAGAGTTTATATTGTGCTAGGACAGCTCCTGAATTAGTAATGAATGAGAAATTGAATGAAACGCTTTACAGAAATCCAAGTACAAACAGTCACCTATATACTTGTTATCTAATGCAGTAGCCAAATCATGTGTGAATTCAGTCACCTGTGTAACAGGAAAAAACCTTGGTTGAAAACCATGTTGCTGAGGCGACAAGAAGAAATAATTATTCAAGTGATTCGAAATGTTTTTAAAAAGAATATGTTTCATAATTTTACAGCTTATGCAAGTAAGTGAGATCCGCCGGTAGTTTGTCGCAAGGTTGCGCGCGCCAGACTTGTGCACAGGCACAAGGTTAGCAATTTACCAATCATCCGGGCAGACACTTTCGCTAAGTGGCCTTGAAAAGATAAACAAATATTTTGTTACCGAATGTGCACATATAGAAAGTAAAGCAGATTGTAGGCCGTCTGGGCCAGTGGCCTTTGAGGCACATAATTTCTCTAACAATTTCTGGATGCCCCCCAGATCAAAAACAATATTATCCATTTGCTCTCCACTTGCACAGGATTCTGCCGAAATGGCACTGACGCTTGAGTGGCCAGCGAACACAAAGCTAAAGTATTGTGGAACATGTGTAGCCCTTTCGATGTCACTATGAAGTAAGTTTCCGTCAAGTTCGAGTGGAGGAATGGACACTGCATTTTTCCCATTAAATTTGACAAGGTTTCATAGTTTTTAGGATTTCTTTGAATCCTTAATTAAAAGTAACCGAAGAACTTGTTTTCCTCGATGCTTACCACACTTTTCATCTGCTTCGTTACCAGCTTCAGTCTTTAACTCGAGTCTGCTTTCAATGAGATGAACCTCTAAACTTAATGGATACACCGCCCTCTTCCGAAATCAGCAATATAATGGCTGATTTGAATTCGCAGTAAGACGCTCAGTGTGAGTTGTTTTCCTCATGTAAAAGTTTGAGTAAATTATTGTTAAAATAAAGGAACCATTAGTCTGGAGTGACGCAAATACCGCTGATACTAACTGATCTCAAATATGGAGTCATTTCATGGTTGCTATATCTTCATGCAGGAGTGTCCAGTCTATGCTGAGCAAGGTGGAAGAGGAAGCCCGACAGAAGGACAAGCAGCTCGCGGAAGCTGTGGCCACAGCACGGAAATATGAGCTGGTGAGAAACTCTTGTATTTATGATTACACTTAATACCGTTTTTTTTTTTCGTAGTGTTATTGTCCCCTCCCCATTAGCGCGTGTTATATGTAAAAGAACGGATAAGTAAATGAATTCACGACGTTTAATATCCCTTAACAACTGTGTAATACTACGGAGGTGTAATTCTCGCGGTTGGCCGTGAATTGTGCATAAAAAGCTATCACTGTAATTTACCACCATGCACTCTCTTAGCCCTCCTTTTAATCTTCTGCCTCGGTGCCAGAACACGTGCCCCAATTCGTCAGGCATGGGCTGCAATAACTCTGATGGAGAACAAGAAACAAGGAAAGAGGGGGAAAGAGAGAAATTGCCAGATAAGAAAGGAAACGAGAGAAGTTTAGGCAAGAACAATTGTTGGTGAGGCGGCATTCAAACCTGTATATTTATGACACTAAGGTGAGCTTCATAACCATCTATTCACTCTAGAAGACCAAAGAATAGTGTTGTCTAGTATAGCACAGCAAAGTAGTGGCAAGAGATGTGAGGGGGTGGAGCTATCGAAAAGGCGGACAAAGTTAAGCATCTGTTGAAAGAAATGAAGACAGGCAAAAAGAAACAAGAGGAAGAAATATGGAAGAAATAGACTGAGAGGGAAAAAAAGGAAAGGCTGAGAAAGACAGAGCAATATCAGAAGAGAGAAAGAATAAGGTAAAAAGAGAAGGAAATGGAAATAGAAATATACAGAAAATAAAATAAAATATCTGGCCTTTTATTTCGTGAAGCTACGATACGGTACTGCAGGTTGTAGAAAGTTTCATCTAGGTGGTGTTCTTCAGCGTTTGCTCACAGCAAAGTTCACGGGCATCGAGCGTTTCACCTCCATAGACATATGACCACCGCGACCAGGATCCAAACAGTGACATACGGGTCAGCACCGCTAGTGATCGAAGGAAAGCATAGCCATACATTCATTAGGCTTTTCGGTGCTAAATGAGCTGCTTGCCCTGTCTTCTTCTTTACTGTGTCCTTTCGCATCAAAAATAACTATGGTTAAGAAGTGAAGGGGTGGGAAAGAAGGAGGTGGCATCCTACCTAAGCCAGTGCCAGCTAGGTGCCCATGAGCTCTCCGGTGACACAGTTTTGCAATACTTTGTGCAAGCAGAGCTGTTTATTTATCTAAAAGTCACAGCTTTGCCGCAAATGTGAAGCAGTGAAAGCGATAGCAACAAAATGGAAGGTCACGTGCAGAATGGCGGGCAGATAAAAACGCGCCCAGTGTTTTTCACGCACAAAAAACGTACGAAACGTACACACAGCTACAGATTAACGCGCATAAGCGTCTCAGTTGTTACTTTAAACAACTGTTACTGAAAAGTGCGCCCTGTTCACAAACGGGCGCTGTGCGACGATTGCAGTGACCTTTGTGCGTCTGGTAACAACAGAATCGTTCTGACGAAACACAAAGGCTAGCCAAGACGTACGATTTTCCCCACTGTAACATAAGCACGCTAGATTGAGCGTACACCCCCCTTATTCTCTACGTGGACCAAAGTACGCGTGAGAGATGAGAACCACCGTGTGCTCACTGCGCCATCTTGCTGATAATGCTGAAAACGCGATAGTCGCCTTCCCCCCTCCGCAATGCCCGCCAACAGCGGTGAGTGGTAGATATAAATAGCTTGCCGTTTGAACGTTGAAGGAGGTACCTGTCGGTGGCTCAGTGGTTATATAGCCTCGCATTCAGGCCGCAGAGGTCTCACGTTCGATTCCGCGCGCCCGAGTCTTTTTTCTGGAATTTTTTTCTTTATGGCGTTTCCACATATATAGATACATATACATATACGGTGCATGACGTCGACGCCGACGTTGACGCCCAGACTGACGCCGACGGCGAAATCCAGCCGAGAGTGTCCATATAATTGCTATCACAATAATAATGTTTTTATTTATTTATACAATTATTTATTTTGTAATAACTTGCAACGCAATAATGGATTTTTTGAGAGAAGGCATATCAGAAACAAACGCAAAGTATACCAGTTTGACTGCGTTTAGAGCCTAACAGACTGCTGCATTGCGAGGTTTTGAGCATATATAAATGAAATATCTGTGGCGTAGACTGAGCATCAAGGAAACAGCAAGTAAACGGAAGGATCAGACATTCAAATTTCAACCATATTGCTGTGAAAGCATCAACCAAATAGATCTACTTTCACAGGTGAGCGCACAGAAACGGCTCAGTTCATGCGAACAAGCTATCTCATGGTGGAAGTAAACTTAACATTCATTCTTAGAGGAAGAAACGGAAGGGATATGTATGCAACTGTCCCCCTTCAGCACTATGTGATGCGAATCAAGTTCTTCACCTGCTAAGCGTTTGCTGCACTTTGCTATTTTAATGCGTGTCAAAACAGTGGTACGAAGTCATACGAAGGACAATGAAAGGATATCTGTGAATAAACATGATTCTTACGTAATAAATGTTTCAACAGGTAACCATTGACGAAGTATCTTCTTTGACATGTATAGGATATGCCTCGTCGCAACGGAATCTGAAGTATCACCCGCACCAAGCAACGCTGAACTGGCCTGACTTGCATCTGCCTTTACAAAAACGACCTTTTATGAAAAATTGAGGACGCGAACCTTGAAAAGGTGGTTACAAGGACCGAGAGAATGACTGAAACTTCTTCCGTGTTTGAGGGAATCATTTGGGGACCATAACGAATGTATTTGAAAAGAAATGGTGCTCATTTATTTGATTGAAAGGAGATTTGATTTCAGACAAAAAAAGTTTTTTGTCACACATGGCTTATATATATATATATAAATATATACTTACATACCGAAAGCTGAACTGAACACACAGACCTACAGCATTTTTGCTTCCATCAAAATTGCAGCCGCCGCAGCCGGGATTCGATTCTGCGACCTGCGGGTCAGCAGCCGAGTACCTTAGCCAATAGACAACTATGGCGGGGCAGTGCGCAGAGACGTTGATTTCTTCGCGGCATGGTTGAGGCATGCACTAGAACCGAACCTTACTGGCAAGTGAGAATACACGCATGACGTTACACTATGCCGTTGTATTCTTGAAGATGTAGGCTGAAGCGTGCTGCAATTTCTTTATCGAAGTGTTCGAGGGCACCTACAAGCAGGCAAGCAAAACTAATAATAATGTAATCTCTAAAAGTGTACGGTATTTCAGGTGGAAAAAGCGATGAAAACTAAGGGGGAAGGAATTTGTGCATTACAACGTGTTCGCTTCGCCATCAAAATCAGCTTCTTCAGAGCATATTTGCATCACTGTAAGCAGCTGCTACGTGTTCGGAGATTCTATAGTGTTGTGGCAAAGCCTTCGAAAAGTGGGTCGTTCTCTCCAGTGCCTTCTTGTGGGTCGGCCTTTTCATAAGAAGAAGAGCAGCTCGTGCAGAAAGTTGGTCCTCGCCTCTGCGGTGCGCTCAACACCATAGGTCAGTTGAGGGTACTGCAGTGGAACTGCCGTTCTATATTCTCAGCCTCAACCGACTTACATTACTTTTGCAATAATTTTAATCTTGATATTATAATTCTCCAAGAAACTTGGCTTACACCAGATAACAATTTCCATCTTGCAGGTTTTCGTTTTTTTGATTAGATCGCCCATCACGTGGTGGTGGTTTAATGATCCTTGTATCAAGTAAATTATGCCATAGGGCGAACATTTCTTTCAGAATGTTAGACTTCGATTGCGAATTATTAGCATTAGACTTGTGTCTCCCCGGATACCACTCATTTTCAATCGTAAATTGTTACTTCCCCTCCGGTGTGCAAAGCACGCGTTATCGTGACAGCGTTTTGGTACCATGTAGAAAGGAAATTGTACTCACAGGAGACTTTAATTCACACCATTTGTCTTGGGGTATAAGGACAGATTCTTGTGGTAGGCGACTGTGGGAATGGACTATTGATCACAACTTCTCCTGTCTGAATAAAAGTCATGTAACATTTGTCCGAGGTCAAACTAGCTCAGTATTGGATTTAACGTTTTGCTCCAATGCAATCAAGATTTTGTCATGGGCTGTTCTGGATTCGGCAACTAACAGTGACCATCTTCCTGTAGTTTTTGACATTACTTGTCCAACAATAACTTTAGATCAGCCAAAACGCACATACATCAACCAAAGCAAATTTCAAGCCTGCCTCCGTTCTGCCATTTCCAAGCTTGGAAATACCAGTACTAAAGAGATTGCATTTACGATAGGTTCAATGCTGGAGGGATCTAGAAAAAATTCTGAATTTTCTATTCCATCCAATAAACGATCCTCCTCTCGTTGGTGGAACGATGAGTGTACGCGCGATTATAGAAGACGAAAAGCCGCTTGGAAAAAACTTCTTCTTAATCAGAGCCCAACAAACTGGAAAGACTATCAATTCTTTGCTGGCGTATTTAAGCGTACAGTGAACCACGCGAAAGAAGAATACAAGAGTAGACATTTTGATTATCTTTCTAAATAAAAAAATAAGCGTGCTTTGTTCGCTTATCTTCGGACAAGAAAAGTACTACCAGAACCTTTAACGTTGCAGTCATGTGTCTTGACGCCGGTAGAAATGAACACCTCTCTAGAAGACATAGCGCAAGGTTTAGAACGCCGCTTCACTGCGAATTTTTCGGCTATTCAGTTCGTTCTGGTAAACTTGCATGAATTTCCAGAAGTTTCTTTAGCTGAATTGAATCAGACAGTATTATGCTTACCGAGGACGGCTCCCGGACCAGATGGGATTACGAACTCTATGTTGAAATGTTTACTCCAGGAATCGCCTAATCTTTTGCTAGAACTAGTGAATTACTCTTTGGGGAATGCATGGATACCTCCAGAATGGAAACTTGCCCAAATTGTATTGTTGCTAAAAAATTAAAATGATGCATACACGTTGGATAACATAAGGCCGATCGCACTGACATCAAACTTAGTGAAATTGGTTGAGAGAATCATCAATATACGAATTATTGAACTTATTACCATGAGGTCTATTCT